AAGCATCCCCATCCCGCTGGAGTAAGGAAGTAGTGGGTTACAGGAAAAGACTCTGGGCCGAGGATTTTACAACAGTGTGTGCTCCACAGGATAAGTAGTTTTGTTTATTTTTGGGTTGTTACTTTGTGCCTGGGGCAGCATTTGGTACACAGTAGGTGTTTAATAAACAGGTTCCGAAACAAAGGTGTTGGGAAGGAGAAGTTGAGTCCAGCTAGGGTAGGTATAGGAAATAGCTTGGTCATCCTGGGATCTGACAGTATAGTATACTTCCAGGTGGCAGAAGCTGTGGTGGGTGGGGCTTAAGCGAGGGTGTGGACTGATCTAATCCTATTGTGGGTGGCGTCAGTTTCTTATCTCTTCAGCCAGCCAGGAGCTACTTCAGGTCTGGGGTGGTTTTTTTTTTTTTTTTTTTTTTTTTTTTTTTTTTTTTTTTTCTTCCTACTCTGGGTCCCCTGGTGTCCTGGTGTGTCAGAATACACACAGTATGGGACCTGTGCTGGGTTCAGGAGACACACAGATGATTCAGGTTTAGGTCTTACTTTCTGTCTGGTGGGGGAGACAGACAGTAAACAAGGGACTTACACAATGGGTAGGATGGATGGAGACGTTTACTAAGCAGGTTCAGTTGAACAAATGAGACACACGCCGACAGGGTCGGGAGCAGGGATCTTTTGGAAGGAGGTATATCTGTGGAGGGAGTGTTAGTCTTTGAAGAATGGTGAGAGAAGGGGCCTGGAGTCGGAGGCATTCCAGACAGAGGTGTCAGCCCCAAAATGCGCTCCAAAGGAAGTATGGGAACTCAGTGGGGAAAGATAAGTTGCGGGCAGAAAGGGCACCTATGGGTGTTTGGGCCTGCTTCTGACCTTACTGGATTCTGGGTAATGGCCAGCTGCAGCATGCTCACTGGGGCTGTGGAAAGGCTCAGTTTTATGGAACCCCTCGGCCCCCTTCTCTCCACAGCCAAGGGCTCAGACACCTTCCTCTGATCTCTCTGCCTCGGTCTTCTCACTAGCTAGCTCCTTTTGCTCCAACAAGAACCTACCAACCCACTTGGAGCCTCACACTGTGAAGCCTCCACAAAGGGCAGACCACAGGGCCTCCGAACAAACACCACCCCCTCTTCCTCTCACACATGTCCTGGAAGGAGGGGCCAGACCTTTTGCGAGGGAGAAAAGGCAAGAAGAATCCTGGCCTGGTGGAACATCAGACTATCAAAAGAGATTAAAAGACCCCCTCCCCCAGATAAAACCCTTTGCCAGCTGACAGGCTAGAAAGTGTATGTGCAGGTGCCCCGGGGGGGCCCGAGCCCCGGGGCTGCGAGGGCATGGCCAGCTCGAGAGTGCCTGACTGTGGGCCCCCCGAAGGGCAGCGCCTTCCCTCCCCCAAGACCCAACTGGTCCTCGTAATCCGCGGGCCCTGCAGACACCAGTGAGTCAGGCATCTTGTGAGTCAGTGTGTTGACAAGCCATCCCTGGCCATTCCTAGCCCATCAAAAATGCAAGGAAGTCCAAAGGAAGGGTATGAACAGACCGATTTAATTAGCGCGGGCTCTAAGGTACCTTAAGTTGGCCCTATTAAATTAAACCGCCTAGGGGAAAAATAACTGTAATTATTTCCTTTTTCCCCCCTACCATTGTATTTCAACTCCCAACCTCCGTGCTTCTCCCCTCTTTGACAAAACAACCTTTAAACTAGGGGCTGGCACAGACATCCCCAAACTAAGGTTCAGTGTTTCTTTTTTCCTGCCCTTCTTCCGTCTGAGCTCTGGTTCCTAGTAGAGAGCAGAGTCCAGAGGGGTCCACGGTGTTAGGCTGTATTCTAATTTAGGGAGGCTGTTAACAAGAGCAGAACATTATTCCAAAAACACACACGGAGTCTCCTTCCTGAACCAGTGCAGATCCGTTTGCTGCGGGGCATTTCTTTTAAAAGCCCCCTTTCTCTCTTTTGTAGAGCAAAATAAGCAAACTTTAATGGTAGGGAATTATTGTTTATTTTGTTGAAATCTAGTCCTGAGTTTTCCTACTTGAAACGTGTTTTCCCCAGGACACTGACCTATCCTTTAATTGTTTGGTGCGAGGCATGTTAGGGGGAGGGGCGTTACTTGTTTATTGGAACAGCGCAGTTAAAAAAAAAAAATCAACCTAGGCTAACAGTTTCAAGGCTCCCCTAAAGATGTATCCAAACAGGCAGCCAATCAGCGCTTACACAGCTTTTTCTGCTTGACTCTTTTAAAGAGACAGTGCCGACAGTGTTTTATCACATTTAAAGAGAACCGCGCTCTGAAAACAGTATGAAAATGGGGGAGCCATCCCTATTTCACCAGTTTCTGATCTGGAGTCCTCAATGAGGGTACGCTGCAGGGTTTTTGGGGTCCTCGATTGGACAGAAAGGAGTCGGTAGCAAAAAGCTTGGTCACTCTGCCAACCCCCCATTTCCCATTGTACACCTGGGTCATTGACAATGGACGCTTCCCCTCCCCCCACTCTGGTCCCCCCTACTCCCCAATTTAGCTCCATTTATTTGAAGTTTGAGATTTCTGCGGTGCGCATTCTGAGTCGCGAGGCGTCCAGGTGACGTCCCTCACCCAAACGGAACCAGTGCCCGCGGAGAAGACGAGGGGGGCTAACTTGCCAGGGTTGGCACACCTCAGAAATTTTGGGAGAAATCACTCTGCCTCCTTCTAGTCTAAAACCCCCTTTCCTCTCCCGAGGCTCGCCCGGAGCACGCCAAGGGCCATTTTCGCGCGGATCCACTTTGGGGTTTCCCAAAGTATTTTAACGA